CTCATCACAGTGATCAAAGAAAGACAGATCCATCACTCATCATTCCCTCCTCTACTCCCAAAAAACAATCCATTGTTTGAAGAAAGGGTGGCTGTGTCAACTCTGACAAGATAAGCTAGTTAGAGAGAGAGAGAGAGAGAGGCAGAGAAAGCTCTCATCATTTTGGCTTGTTGGTGGGTTGTTTTTTGTTGTTGTTGGTTTGCTTTTTGTTTGAATGCTACAGCCTGGCTCTAGTATAACAGCATGGAGTACTGGGCTTCCACCATGCCTTGTTCATCTTCTGAAAGGAAACGCATGGAAGATGGCTGCTATAATTAATGTGCAGTTCCATCTCCATAGTCCCATCACCCCATACAAATATTTTAAAATAGAGGTGTGTAAACATCTCTACTTTATTCTTCTTTTAGTTGGTCTGATTAATGCTGCAGGGCCATCATTGTGTGGTGCCTGTCCATGAATAAAGCAAGAAACGGATGGGATTGTTTCAGTTTATCCTCCACACTAACTGCAATTATTCAGTTTGGGGGGTTGATTTCAAAAGGATTTTTCTTTTTTTTTCTTGTCCTGTTGCATGTCACTTTGCTTACAATAGCTAGAACAAATGTACTTCCAATTAGGAACAAACTGTGAGATAGTTTTAGCATTGCACCAATGAGCTATATCACACACCAGGAAAGATCACTCTCTTTGTTGCTAATCTTGTCCAATAATTTGTCAGTCCAGATTGAGGGTAATACAACCTCCTGTCACTAGCTGGATAAATGCTGTAGAAATATCGAGTGCAATAACCAACATAGGGCACGCACATGACATGTGCAGGGATGTTGACAGACTGCTGCCTGGAGGATGTGGCTCCCCAGGAAGAGACCTTCACAGGCCTCCACACACCAAGCCTGTTGTGAAGGCAGGAAGTGTACAAGGATAGTCATGTATTTGCCTTATCTAATTCAAGGTATGAGGCATCTCTTGAGTGACCTTTGATGGCTAAGGGAGGCTTTTTACCCATAACTGAATAATCTGCTTCTTCGCCTATGTGGCTGTACAAAGGTTTTCCAGCTCTTTTGGAGCCCTCCATGCAGGATGAACAGATTGTCTGAACTCCTGATGTCTCGTGTCCTTGTCAGGTATATGGAAAACACTTGCCTCATATTTAGGAATCTTTTCTCTTTCTTGCTTCTGGAAAATGGATAAAAAGACAGACCACCTCCTGAGCTGGGTTGAAGTTGGAAGGCCCCTTCGAAAGGATGTAAAGGGCTCTTTTGCTCACTGCTTTGTCCTAGTGACAAATAGATGCAGTACCAGAAGCTCGTAGGGTGGGATTTTTCAAATGTATCTAAGTGATTAGAAGCACCAGTTCCATTGACTTTCAATGGGACTTATGCTCTGAAGTAAGTTTGGCACTTTTGAAAGTCCCGTTCCCCTGCCCCCGCCCCCCCACGACCCATTTGGCAGAAAGGGGCCTGTAACTCTGTCACCATCCTGGCTAAGATTTCACCAGGAATGTTTTCTTTAAAATGAGAAACTTATTTGGTGCTTTAATCCAGGGTTTGGAGGGATGACAAGTAAAGGTCCTATAGACTGTTGACCTGAATTTATAGGGCTAGTTTATTACGGCTTGCCAATGATCTGACCAGAAAATATAGCAAGCTAGTCTCATGGGCTTCAGGACAAGGTTACAGTCTGGGTTGCCTACTGAAGTCTGGAACCTCAACTTAATTTTGTTAACTGCTAAAGGACTCTGGCTACTTCCAGATTAACTCTGCTAAAACATACGATGACTATTCAGCCTTTCCTTGACTAACGCTAACAGCAAAATCTGGAACCATAACAAATTTGCGGTCAGTCCTTGTCCAGGACATTCTGGAGGAATTGCAAAAGGTCAGTAAAGAAGCCAAGGGGACTCATCTGTTTTTCTCTGGATAGGCCCTGAAAACAAGAAAGGTCTTGTAGCATAAATATAGACTTCTGCATGTACCCAGTGTTGTGGTTACCACCTGCTCCAAGGGACCAGTTTCTCTCATGCCCAACCACTCAAGAGTCAAGCTGGCAAATACAGATGACCAGGGTGGGTACTCATGGAGAACTGCTTGTTGAGAGAAAAGAGATGAGTTTTGGGTTCCATGATCCCAGGCCCAGAGCTACCAAATTGAGCATGGATTTGGACAGCACTATTACCTTGAGAAGTTTGCTCTTCAGACAGAAGGTCATGGAAGACAGGTGTCAGGTTTGACCACCATAGGTGAAAGTAGAGCAGCTTCTGCTGCTAGATACTCTTAGACCTAGCAGAAGGCTGGAATCTTCTATATGTAAATTAGGGATAGTGATATCTGTACAGTGCGTTGAGATCCTTGAATAAATGGTTTTATGAAAACCATTTTTATTATTGTTCACCGTAGTGATCGTTTGTGGCATCTGAAATATTAGGATGAACTCTAAATGTGGCATCTTCATTGTTTTGGTGGAGCTGTTCGGAATTCAGCCACTGTGCACTATAGTTCAGTGCTCATACACTACTGATGGGGTGAGCAGAGTGCTTTTGGCCTAGCAGACTATACAGGGGGCCTCAGTGACTATGTCCCCGCCCGTTGTGTTCCCTTGGTTATATATACAAATTACTATGGTCACACTGTTAATCTCAGTTCTCGCCACCCTGCCCTGCAGTTCACGACTAAAGAGTAAGAGGGCATTCCTGGCTATGGTGTCTAGGTAATTGATTAGCATCATACTCTCTGCTTGGGGATAACATTTTTTTGTGCCACCATCTACCAAGTTGAGTTTCTTGGACTAAAAGGCCAGCCTACATGGTGATATGTGTGGACAAAAATACTTCATTAGCAATAGGGTGAACTAACACCAGTGGAACTTGCATGGCCCTACCAAAGCAATTGTTCATTCCAGGTCCTAATGAGGGAAGAGGTCAGTGGCAGTGGGAGAATCCTGCTCAGCAGGAAGGCGTGATGGTCCATAGCACTCTCCCTCTCCTAAAAGCAAAATCTCTTGCCTGAGAAAGGGGTGCCAAAGGTAATCCCATCATTTTGCAACTTCTAGTTTCCAGTCTGGTGGAGGAGACAGAAAGGCTGAGTGCAGCCCTAGTTGGGATAAGAGTACCTGTGCAAGTGAGTGTATGGGATCACCAATGGTACAGGATGCACAGAGCCCACCACTTGGAGTATACCTAGCCTGTAATTATGGCCAGTGGCGCAAGCCGAGCTGTCACGCTCCAGGACATATGGCTCGGACAATAAGACAGACTTGCCTGCTCAGTGCTGAACTGAACATTCAGATATACCAGCTCTTGAAGAGCAGACAACAAACTTTAAGTATTGGTGATTATCTAGTTTTGAGCTGCCAGTGGGGACTCAGTCTGCTGGATGGAGACAAAGACTCTCAGACCCTGGAGAGGACCGGTGAATAACCATAACACCGCTTGTATCTAATCTGCTCTTCTGCAGAGGTGCCTGTTTTAAAAGTTCTCTAAACCAAGTCTCCAGTCTCTGTGCTGGAAGGAGTTTGAAAGTTGACTAATTTTTGTGGCCTGTTTGTTGAGAATGATAACCATGTCTGAGGAGCAGGAGACACAGACCAGCAGCCCACTCTGTATGGAGCTCTCACAGAGATCCCTCATGGACTGGTTTCAGAAATCCTGTGCACCAACAGCTCCAACTAACCTCAGCAGATGCTCTGGGGACTGAGACCTCTCAAAATAGAGGTCTAATCTTACTGACAAAAAAGAAAGTAACAGAAAATATATATATTATATTTGGTCAATAACAATATTGACAAGATAGAAAATAATAGACAAAATCCTCCTTAGTGGAAGCTTCTACCTAGTCAACTGGATTGCTGCATTGATACAGTTCCCTTCATAAGGGCAGATGTCACAAAGTTTTGTTATCCTTGTCTCTCTCTGTCTGCTGGTGAGAGACCATACTGCCCATTGTGGGGACTACTGACTAGTCACTGGAAAGAACATTTGTGTGTGGTTTAATATGTTTTATATGAACATTTTAATAATATTTTTCATTTATTTGTATGATTCTTATGTAGACCTTCTGTCATTAAGCCTTCTACAAACCAAAGCGGAATCCAGGAGTGATGTATGGTAGAATGGATTCATCTTGCAATGCCTTGTGAGGCTGATTTAGTTGGTGTTGGTCCTGCTTTAAGCAGGGGGTTGGACTAAATGACCTCCTTAGGTCTCTTCCAACCCTAATTTTCTATGATTCTAAAAGGAAACTGCCCATCAAGCATATCCCCCATGCTGAACGATACTCTTTCCCGAATTCAGAAGGCTTGTGTGCACCCAGAACATGGGTGAACCAAGTTACCTTTACAAATCCTTTTTCCCCATTCTTGGATTCATAAAAAAAAATCCCATAGCCAGAGGCAGATATGTTTTATTTTCCAAAACTGATGAGAATAAGCATACATTTTAATAACATTTCAATCTGATTTAAGTAAAGCCATGCAATTCAAGTAATGCATTGTTAAGGTTTCAGATAAACTCAGTTTATGAAGGCCCAAGAAAAAGGACTGCCATTTTGACTGAGGAGCGTCCAGTAGTTTTCACGTCAGTGGCCAAGATTAGGAAGTGATTGTCTTTGGTCAGATTTACATCACTTGTCCATTGAAGCACAGATCAAATGTTTTACTTCTTCAGAGCCAATCTGATATCTAATTGAAATGCTAGAACAGTGGTTCCCAAACTTGTTCCGCTGCTTGTGCAGGGAAAGCCCCTATCGGGCCAGGCCGGTTTGTTTACCTGCCGTGCCCGCAGGTTCGGCTGATCGCGGCTCCTAGTGGCCACGGTTCACTGCTCCAGGCCAATGGGAGCTGCTGGAAGCGGTGCGGGCCGAGGGATGTACTGGCCGCCACTTCCAGCAGCTCCCATTGGCCTGGAGCAGCGAACCGCTGCAACTGGGAGCCGCGATCGGCCGAACCTGCGGACGCGGCAGGTAAACAAACCGGCCTGGCCCGCCAGGGGCTTTCCCTGCACAAGTGGTGGAACAAGTTTGGGAACCACTGTGCTAGAGGAACAGGCTCTTAAAAACATTGTACTTTCCCAACTTAAATCACAATGGGAGAAACAGCCAAGTCATCATGAGCAAAAAGGGAAATTAAGTGTCAAAAAAAGCTAAAAAACCCAACAGCTTGTGACTATATAAAAAATTAAAATGTCATGCTGATCATTTGAATTGGCTAAAGCTATGAATTAAATGAGCTGACCTTCTGAAAGTTATAATCTCTTCATTAAGACAGCCTTAGTAGGAAAATCATAGGACAGCAACCTGTGTAACGACACACTGAAATACACACAATTTGTGGTGAGACACAAAAGGTACACTGAGGGGATGGGGACCCAGGGGGGCGGGGGAGAAGGCCTGCTGAAAAAAATCATGGGAGTTGGCTGTTCATAGTGGAAGGTTCCAAGCTTACAGCTCTGGTTACTGCAGAGTCAGAGCACTCTACACCCACATCCCCAGTGTGACCCCTTCCTGACTGGGAAGAACAACCCCCAGACACAAGATGGGAGTTGAGTTTCTAAACGGCTGCCAAGGACATCTAGTGGGACGGTAGATTTTGAGAGGCAGGTACCTGCATAACACAGAGTGTGCTAAGACCAAGAATTCATTTCACATAGGCCACTGAACATCAATCAGAAAGTAACAACTTTCAGCCATTACCAATCTGACCCAATGACCTAGAGGTAAAAAACTCCACATCCCATTATAAATTGCCTGAGTCCTTCTGGGACATAGTTATCTGAAACCCATGTAAGTCAATCTTCCTATCGAGATAAGCATCGGTATTATGGTGATGTTATCTTGCACTATACTGAAAAAAAAAAAGCTATATATGGGTTACCAGGTGTGAGTAGATCTATTTCATGAGTTACCATGTTAAAATTCATGGTATTTCAGATGGTAACTATGAAACTGGGATCACAGCTGCATGTTTCACAGATTAAATTCATAAATATAGTAAGGAAGAAAAATAGCAGCTTGCAAAAATGCATTATTATTTACATTGCTAGACATGTACAGACAATCACAACACTGATTTACAATCAGACACCTTCACATAGGTCAAGTACCAGGGCATCCCTTTTCTTTAACAGATAATCCACACTATCAGAAGAAATAAACAAGATGGTTGAGGACTGGCATGTTTACTTGCAGCACGCATCCTAAAAGTAACTGACAATACAGTGCACTTTGACGGAGGCCCAGCTATTAACTTATAAGGCTTTCCAGCTCATCTAGTAAAATTAACCATAAAGATTTCTTGCACGTGCCCTGTTTTTGCTGATTACTCCAAGATTATATCATGTTGGCATTTTACTTGAAAATTTGATTTTGTTTCACAAGTAGTGTCTGATAATATAGCTTCCTGTCTGACTTTTTCTAACAAATGATTGGCCAGCATGATCTATCTGCAGTCTGTGCTGAATTGATAATGACTTTGTCCAAGAAGAGACAGAGGAAGTAAAAGAATTTCCTTCCCACTCATGAGATCTTCACAGTTTACCTCCTTGCTTCACCTCTCCTTTGCCAGCACCACCTTGGCTCACTTCCCCAGATCTCAAAATGAGAGGGAAAGTGAGGTTTTACGATTTTACATATACATAAGGGAAAAATATAGCAAGTTTTTATTGCTTGCCTTCAACTTAAATGTAAATACTGATCATTAACAGTTTGGATAGTGAACCTTACTATGGTATACTGAGCAGCTTAAAGGTAAGATGTGAGCTTCATTCTTAACTGGTCAATTATACATAAAAATAGTACAAGTCATGGAGCACATTTTTCAGATTTACTGAGGCTTTTTCCATGTCAGAGATCTGATTGAACATTGACAGGATATGATTTAGGATTCCAGGTCATCTTGCAAAAAATATTACTGAAATAAGCCTTGCATTTATATTTTTTGCTCTTTAAAAATTACTACATGGAAAATAGATGTGATGAACAGGTAGGGGAAAAATAAGAAGAGCAGAAGAGGCAGGAAAATGCACATGCACAAACAAACTGCACAATCTGACAAACACTATTTCAACACCACAGCCTTCCCTCAAGAACAGTATTAGTATTGTTTGGATGAACAGTGTTCATCCACCACTGCTTTTCCCTCAGCACCAGAGAGTAAAAAACGCTTCCAGGTGCCTGAGATCTGCTGGATCACATTTCTACAGTACCAAGTACCACTGTAGTTACTGTGGACCTCAGTAGAAGGGATAAAGTGCAAAGTCTCAAAAATACACAGGTCACATGTCTCTCTACTGTCCTGGTGTCTTTGACTTCCGCCCTGAAGTCTTTGCATGACCAGGACTCTTTTCATGGCCGGGAGCTGGAGTAATGGGGAATTGTAATCCATATCCATTGTATCCATCTAGGAAAACACATTGGAAGAAGCGGACTGGAGCTAGGGAAACACAGAAGACAAACAATTTGTTAATATGTACAGTTTCCAGATGGTAAACCTGACTCACCACTGTGTTACTCCAGTTTAATGCTCGTGTAACTCCATTAACTTCAACTGTGTTACAGTGGCATAACATTGGAGTAACATGGTAAGAAATTAGACTCTAAGTCATCAAGAGCAAAAGCTGAATGGGATTTTTAACTAAAGTCAATATGTTCTGAGTGCTTTGAGACCTTTATAGCATAACTGAGAGTGGTCCATATTATATTCAACATTCCCACATAAATCTATTATTTCCCTTAGATATACTCTGTCTAGCTGTCCGAATATTTGTTTCCTGGAATGGCTTCACTGTATGTCTTTAAAGGCCCTTCAACTCAAGCATCCATTTCATGACTCTCTAATTCAGTGACCCATTCTGAACACTCTGAAGAGTTCTATCAAACGTTCATGGTCGGAGATACGCAAATAACTGTTCCAAATGACCAGCCCTATCATTCCTTCAGAACTTTGGCATCATATGTGGAAGTATTTCTTTTCCAGGGTTTTAATACGTAGGGAATTTTTGCTACCTTTGTGCCACTTGAGACTCAGCCTTTTATAGTCATGCTTTTTTTCCATTACCTTCTCAGCTCTTTTAAAGGATCAGAAGAATATGGTCTTCATCTCAAAGTCAAAAGATGAAATACCAAATTTGTCAGGAATGTTGAATTTTGTAACTGCATTTGAATGTTAATTGCACTCTGGAATTAAAGTTTTTCATGGAATGACTATTAGTCAGTTACATGTTTGGGAAAATGAAAGGAGAAATGCTGGCACTAGATAGAAATTAGTTCTCATACAATTGATTTTCTGACGCCTATATCTTATTCTTTCCTGTTCATTCAATATAAGAAAGTTTAGCTCCTCAGTGTAACTGTCTAACATGAAACAGACTGCAGGGCTTCCCCTAATAGAAATTCAGATGCAAAGTCTGTTTATTGACTGCCAAATCCCATCAAATGGAGGAGCACAGCACGGTTTGTCACAAATGCAAGTGTATTCACTCTAGTGATTTTTCCCTCTCTGGTCTTTTTGCCTGATGCACAGGAAGGTTAGTTCTTTATCCAGCTCAATACCACACTTGATAACTGTGCTAGATACATTTGATGCTTTGAAAATGACTGGATTGCCTACCCAACAAAATATCCAGTTGACGCTGATTGTTATAAGGAAAAATAATGTACAGCAAGGAAATCACCAATTACAAACTCACCTTTGTCTTTTTTAATGGAAATTATTTCTGCATATTCTTCTAATGGATATAAAAATAAGAAAGTAAGTCAATAGCTGGTTCTTTTTGTTTTACCAAGCAAGGTAATAAGGGTGTCATACACTTGCTAGTTCCAATAAATATTATATTTAAAGCTATTTAAAGTGACAAAGTACCCAACATGCTATAAATACTGAAATTTAAACTCTCTTGCTTTATGCATGTTTCCAGGTGTAAGTATGGTCTACCACAGGGGTAGCCAAATTGTGGCTTGCGAGCCATGTGCAGCTCTTTTACAGTTAAAGTGCAGCTTGGCCCCCTCCCCCATGCCCTCCTCCCCCATTCTCCACCTACCACACTTTGGGGGGTAGCTCAGGACCTCTGCCTTGCAGCAGGGTGGTGGGGTAGGGGCTTCTGCCAGCAGGAAAGGGGGTCTCAGGGCTTCAGCAGGAGTGGGACTGAAGCCCTGAGCTCCAACAGGTGCCTCTCACGGGGCAGAAGCCCCAAACCCCACCAAACGTGCCCCGGCTCTCGAACTTCTGAATATTGTCCTATGTGGCTCAGAGGATCAATACGCTTGGCCCCCTGGTCTATGATAAGAGTCATTTTACACAAAGCTCTTGTAGGAGCAGAGAAAATAATACAACAGAATTTTCTGGTGAAGTTATACTAAAACTGATCATTCTACAATCATCAGCTCTTCCGATTTATATGGTCATTTCACTTAAAAGTCTGATTTACAAGCTATAGTTAGTAGCCACTAAATTACTGGGGGACAGAGGGACACCCCTAGAAGAATTTAGATAATCTGGCCTTTAGGAAGAGGTTAGATAGGATGTGCCTTGGTACTAAACATGAAAAGTAGCAGCTGAAAAAAAGAATGGTAAAGATCTCAAAGTGCTTGGAAGAACTGTCACATATTTAGGATCATTCTGAATCAAATGTATCAGACAGCATGACAATGGCCTAGATTCTGTTATTCCTGAGTTCCTTGTTAAGTTGGTTTCTTCTGTTTAGTTAGCAAGTTTATGCTGTACTCAACCTCAAAATGTTGTATATTTTGACCAGAGGTCAGGTGTTCTGTTATTTATTGTGTTTAAAAAGCTTCAACAAATTTTAGGCTAATCAAGGAACTCCTTGCATATAAAGGACCAGTTCTTGTTCCTCTAAATCAGGTATGGCTAGCATGCCCTCCTCCGCAGCTGTGCAGAAGATTAGGCAGGTTAAGATCCTTCTTTTGTGACTGTAAAAAAACATACCCAGATTGTGCCTCTGCATGTGGAAGGGAGAGCAGAAGTTTCTGTGCCTGACACTCCCGCCATAAGAAAATCATTGGAGCCAGGGCTCCCTTTCTTTCCCCACATGCCAGACAGACAGCAGAAGTGGCTGGCTATAATAGTAGGAGGAGCCCCCTGTGAAGTGCTACTGCAGACTACCCCCCACCCCACTAATATGAGAAGTTCTCTGGAGGAATTGTGTTTCTGAGTGGTTGGCACAATGCTTTGTGGGGTTTCCCCTTCAGCAGCACACTGCCTCTTGCTCAGAGGGTAAAGTCAAAGCAGGAGTAAATGAAGGAGATTTGGCCCCTAGAAGAAAATACATACATTCCAGTGTGAATACAGTAAGCTAGTTCACACCTTAAAGGAGACTTAGTAGATATTTTTATCAGTGTACAAGGTTTAATAAACCAGGAAGCTATACAACTGAATTAATATACTGCAATATGAGGATATTTCCAGTGGAACTTTTTTCCCCTCCAACATGCCTTTCTGGGGCTGGCCCTTTAAATTTGACCAAGCCAATCAGCAGCAGCCCTAAAATAGTCATTTTGCAAATGACTGCTATCTCTCTTCCTCCCACTTTGCTGGTAAGTATCTGTAGCGATTTCTGTTTTCTTTTCCTTTTTCCATTGCTGAGCAAATAGCCCATTTTCTTACTTTTCAATCAATGAAAAATTGAGTTCTCTGCCTTTGCATACAGCGCCATCTTTCACATTTGTTAGGCAAGAAAAGCAAGTGTAAGCAAAGATAAGTGTTAAGCTCAGATTCTCAAAAGTATTTAGATGTTTAACCCTCACTGAATTCAGCTGGAGCTAGGCTTCTAAATACCTTTAAGGATCTGGGCCTTATAGTAGGAACACTACTCCCGAAAACAGGAGTGAGGGAAGTGGTTTTCAGAATGATCCTTTTTGTTGGGTGTATTGTTTTAGTGTTTCCCTTTTTTTCTACACACAATACTATAAGCTACAGAATATCTATTATACTAGAAATGAGATCATGACAACAGTCTACCTTTGTGCCAGGTGCTGCTGTATCCATAATATTGCTACTAAGTCCTAATATCCTGGTGTGCTCTGCTCACAGGAGCAGCACATCCATTTCCCATTTCTATGTTAGTAGTAAAAAACAACAAAGACTCCTTGTTGTTTTTGTGGATACAGACTAACACGGCTACCCCCTGATACTTGACACTATGTTAGTAATAATACTCCAGTACATGAGACGGGGTGCTCCATCCACATGTGATATTCTGTTCCTGACCCTCCATGTTAGCTTTTGATTTTTTATTGGTAGTCTTCAGAAATAAACTAAAACTAAACCTACCATTAAGAAAACAAAAGCAATCAACACAGTAAGAAATTAAATGAATATTTGGGGCTAGGTTCACAGAAAGACTTAGGCGTCTAACTGCCACTTTAGGCACCTAAATCCCAGAATCAGACCGCTCTATTTATCAAGAAATCTAGATTGCTCTGTATCAGAGAACCTCCCCTCTTCATTATTTACCACTCCCCCAATTTTTGGGTCATTTACAAACTTTACCAGTGCAGAATTTATGTTTACTAGATTCCCTGGGCACCTTTGTTTCCACCTCCAGGCATGTGCACTGCTACCTTCAGAAGAAGAGCTCTGTGTAAGATCAAAAGCTTGTCTCTCTCACCAACACAAGTTATATATCACCCACTTGTCTCTCTAATGTCCTGGGATTGACACAGTGACAACAACACTGCATACTAGATATAAGGTCTCAGTCCTGGATCCTCAAAAGTATCTAGGATCCTAACTCCCATTGGACCAATGGGAATTAGGGGCCTAAATACCGTTAAGGATCTGGGCCATCATGCTAATCCATTGTAATTTTAAATAACACAGATTTAACTCTGTACTTTGATCCATCGGAGACATACAAAATCTGCAAAATAAAAGATGCCTAGATAATACTTAGTCCTGCCATGAGAGCAGGGGACTGGACTAGATGTCCTCTTGAGGTCCCTTCCAGTCTGATGATTCCATGAACTTTAATTCTACAGCTCTACCACTGAAGTCCTTACTCAGGTAAGGAATGAGAGCTTTGTCTGTGTAAGGACTACAGGACAGGCGCTGTGTAATTACAGTGGAATAAAACAATCTGATTTTTTCTTCATGGTCTATTCGGTGTTCGGTTGATACAGGAAGAAAAGACAAACTTCCCTAAACCTAAACTGAAGAAATGTTGTAGCATTCATGCAAGGTTCATGCACTTGGCAACATTCAGGGCACACCCGGAGTGTTGTGTAGGAGCAGTGCACACACGGCTCCTCTCAAGGGCATGAACCTTGGAATCTCGCCCAGATGACATGAACCGTGGGAAGCCTCCCAGGACTGGGCTCAAGGCCCGAGAGCAAGGAATGCGTTAGATAGAAATTGGTAAATAAGAATGTTAAACAAAGCCAGTGTATTCCTTTTATCTGTTGGAGAATGTAATGCGCGGGGGGAGAGAAAGAATAAAGGAGAGGGTGGAAAGCTGACAGGAGCAGCCCGTTGGCAGACCAGCCTGCTTCCTTGCTTAAAGCTTTGTGCTGTCTTGTATTTGGACCGCAACAAAATGTTTGTTTCTTTGACACAAAAACTAGAACTCTCAAGATCCCTTCCAGCCCTACTTTTCTGTGATTCCAGTCCCATTTCTTTGTGAATAAGAGCACTGCGTGAAAGTGAGAAGCAGGTCACGTAGGAGAAATAGTCTATTAAAGAGAAGTAGTTTTGTTCAGAGGAAATGGTGGTAGGCTTATCAGAAAAAAAAATTAGAGACTGTATGAGGGAAACAATCATTACTAGAGCCCTGACATTTGAACCAAATTATTCCATTATGTGGTTTCCCTAATAATATTAAACAATTCAACAAAGCACAAAAAATCATAGCATTATAGAAATCATAGCATTAGAAGCAACTAATTAGTAAGCAATTAGGAATATGAGGGAAGAAGGGATAATTTCACTGGTTTCTTACTGATCACTTTCCATTTATTATGAATGCAAATACTGTATTTTGATTAAACAATGTAGAAAAATTAATTACGGCATGTTAAAATTAATGGTTCTTCTAAGGTACTGATTTGGCTACCCAATGCAGGAGGGCTGGGGGAGATTTGCCTCTGTTTTGCTACTTTGCCTCTTTGGGCTCTCTCTAACACCTCAATGAAAATACAGGCTGATCACAGAAAGCACTGTAGGAGGTGGATACCTAAAGGGGTCAGGAATGCTCTTTGAAGAGCATGAACTTCACCACCTGCTTTCTCATATATCTGCCAAAGTGTGTGCACGTACCTATTAAACATAAAGGATGGCTTTATAACTGTCAATTAAATTTGATCTTGAATACCAAAAGCTAAATGTTAAGGGCTCATGCAGTAGCAGAAATGTTGTTCCCTTCAGATCAGCATATGGTGGATATTTAGACACTGGCTTCTCAATTTAAAACAAAATGGAATTTTTTAAATAACATTTGACATACGAGTTCACCATTTTCTTCAATAACAAGAGTGTTCTTCTTAGAGCATTCGCCCCTTAGTTCTTATCGCTCAATGATACCATAAAAACAAGCTCAGTCTGCCCTCCAGGAAACAACCAACATGCTTTAATGGGGATGGGGGAACATCATACACATCAGCAGGAAAGGTCAGAAGCTTTCCAAATCAGTTCACCCATCCGCTCTAAAATGACATTTTTCAGCACTGTAATGTTGTATCAGAGACAGCAGCAGAAAAACTATCCCTCATGAGTATA